CATCCATCTCGCAAACAATTCAAATATTACACAAAAACCTTAGATCCGTTATGAATGAATTGATCCTAGTTCATATAAATTTCTGCCGTATTAGTTGTTATTTTTACACAAGCTTTCGTCTGTTCATACAGACATCTTCAGGTATATAATAGATGTTGTTCTTGTTTTTTTCTCTTAGTAATAAGAGGACATCGAAAATATATGCTATTGAAAATGAGATATTGGTTTTTGAACGCGCCAAAGCAACGCTGATTCATAACGGATCTAAGGTTTTTGTGTAATATTTGAATTGTTTGCGAGATGGATGTCTCGCCATTTAAAATCATTAACCTTTGCATTAGTTTTGTGTGAATAATTCATGTATTTGTAAATTGATTGCACGTTTATTGTAATTTAAATAAGTGATCCATGTGCGACTTTTGGTTAATAAGTGCGACATTACTGTAATTATTGAACAATATAGTTCATGCCACTTTGACAGTAAAATTTACCAGTAAAATAATTTGTTCATTACCATATTTGGTACAAACGCAAACATTTTAAAAAAGAAATTCAAAATCAAACTCAGCGTTGCTTTGGCGTTCAAAAACCAATATCTCATTTTCAATAGCATTTCGGATACAATACACATATATTTTCGATGTCCTCTTATTACAAAGAGAAAAAAACAAGAACAACATCTATTATATACCTGAAGATGTCTGTATGAACAGACGAAAGCTTGTGTAAAAATAACAACTAATACGGCAGAAATTTATATGAACTAGGATCAATTCATTCATAACGGATCTAAGGTTTTTGTGTAATATTTGAATTGTTTGCGAGATGGATGTCTCGCCATTTAAAATCATTAACCTTTGCATTAGTTTTGTGTGAATAATTCATGTATTTGTAAATTGATTGCACGTTTATTTATATATATATATATATATATATATATATATATATATATATATATATATATATATATATATATAATAATAACGACAATTTACACATCTGTATATATATATACAGATGTGTAAATTGTCGCCATTTTATATTTTTAATTTCGACATGCAATTCACTCCGCCAGAAATTTGGAAACGGCATGCTGTACTGCTTGGAATTCGCACCGGAAGCTCTAATATGAACATTTAGGATTGTATTTCAATCTGACGAGAGTGCAGAGACATCGGAAAGAGTCGTATGTGTCTAATGAGGTTTACGAAGGTGCTTGGAGTAGTCACTAGTGAGGACGTCATTATGTCACACTTCGTCCTGCCACAAGGCCTCAGACTCAACACGGGGGCCTACATCAAGTGCTTTGAGTACGAAGTGCTGCCCTGGGTCAAGAGGGTGGCTACTGGAAGACCCTATGTCTGGCAACATGACTACGCACCATGCCACCCAAGCAGGAGAACCCAGTCATGGGTGTCAGACAATTTCTGCAACCACATCACCCCTTACATCCGGCCACCTAACTTTTCAGCCTGCAAACACATGATTATTATGTGTGGGGCACAATTGAGCAAGAGAACAACAAAACTACTTGTATCACCAAAGATGAACTGAAGGCAAGGATTATAGCATGATTCACCAACTTAAACAAGGAGACCAGAAGATTTGCAGGAGATTCCGAAGTCATCTAGAGGCCGTGGTTGAAGCCAATCTCGGTTTTATTAAATAAATTTGCTCTTTAGTATTTCAAGAGTCCCAGAAATGTAAGTTCCAGAAAGATGACTCCCGCAAAAGGACGAAACAGCCGTCCAGTGCTTTCTCCATCCTGTTGAGGTTTCTAGAATCGATGAAGTATTATGGGAAATTATTCAAATCACAACAATTTCTATCACACACGCACACACACAGACGCACGCACGGAAACACACACACACATATATATATATATATATATATATATATATATATATATATATATATATATAGATAGATAGATAGATAGATAGATAATAACAGTGGTAAATATATATATATCTAAAATATATAAATCCATACATATACATGCATACATACACATACATTTATATATAAAAATTCCAAGAGGATAGAATCCAAGTAGAACTCAATGCCCAGGACAGAGTAAGTATATAATAAAAAGGCTTAAACACTAATATTCTATGGTCATAATTTATTACATTGGAATCGTAATTACGATCCAATTCATCAGACGTACAAATTCAAAAAGAAATCAGAAAATATAACCCCGGAAATAAAAAGATCAAATTTAGCGAGAGTGCATGTATGAGAGTGGGGGACGAATGTGAGAGGTAAAAGAAAGTTCTATATAGGGGGGTAACAGACGAGAGAAGAACAGGAAGGCCTAAAAGTGAATTTAGGGAATGAATTCAAAGGAAAAGTCAGTCAAAAGTGTGATACGGATGAAGTTGAATTATTTTCCGATGCATAATTCATTTTTAAATCACTAAATTAAACTAATGTATATTCTAATTCTAATATGATACAATTTCCCCCTTAAATATTCAGCCATTTTTAAAATGCTGATATATTTGTAGATTATTATTTATTTTTTCTATACTTTATTTTTCATCTTTTAAATTTACCAGATATTTCGTCATCTTGGCCTATTATGAATTTCTAAGCATATGTTAGATGCGGTACAAGGCCGAAAGTATGTGGTATCCAGTGATGATCGAATTTATTATTCAGTTCTAATTGATCTAACGAGGCAAGCTTGTTAACCATTACACCACTTGGAGTTGCTCTCTGACCTATTTTTATGAATGTGTCTGCTTTCAGTCGGTTAATTGGGATTGATTCTGTTTTTTAGTTTGTTTTTTTTTTTCCAGTTGGTGATATGCAGGCGAATCAGACGTGATAAATCAACGTAATACCAGAGAAAAGAATAAATGAATAATTAAAACCAAACATGGCAGCTTCAAAATAATATATACCCGTTATTGTCCACCCGATATTAAAGAATATCTTACATTCAATCGACGTTTTTCTGAACAGTTTTTTTCCGCTTTACTACACGTTCTTCTCCTGGATTAAACGTGCAAGTGAGAAGAGAAAAACTGAACATGAAATAAGCATGCAACTGTTAACAGATGAACGTCATATAAAATAAGTTTAAAACAAATAACAGACGA